TACAGATCATTGTTTGGATGTGGACATCCCATTTAGTTTGTTCTCTAGAAGCACACATGACCTCACAGGTGACGCAAAAGTTCCTGCTGACAGTTTCATGCTATTCCATGCTTGACAAGATGTACAGGACAAACGTCAGTCTCTGAATGAGGGAACATAAGTATAGCTGGGTTTGTTTACAAGACAACATTCAAGTACATACATTTGTGATCCCAAGTAGCAACAGGGTAGCTGTGTGATGTGGCTCTAGCTCATCAGAACAAACAGCAGGGTTAGTGTGACATAGCCTCATAATTCTGCCAGACAGGCTCATTACATTTTAATGGCTTTTCAGCTGGAATCCCTCCCAGCCTCCAGTCAGGGTAAGGGAACATGTGAGTCTTGAGCTGTGATCAATTCACAAGATAGTGTGGCTCACTTTTATCAGTCAGCACAACAGAATCTGTTTCTCTTCTAAAGAAGAGAAAGACAAAGATTGTTGAGTTTATAAAGCGCAAGGGGACCAGTTCAAGTGAGTCATAATTATAAAATGCCCTCTTGATATTATCAGTGTGGAGGTGAAGATGGAGGTGAGGCAATAGAGACATTAGGTAGGTGAGCAGGATTTATTTGTTTGCATCGATCTGTGAGGCGCTGTGACGCATGCAAGTCAATGGTGATTAGCTAAGACCTTACAGTTTTATGTCTAAGCAGTGATAATGAAACAGAGAAGTTCAAGGCCTGCACTGTGCCTCCGGACTCCTCTGTGAGGCCTTTTCACAGTTGGGAGTGTGATTCAGCTCTAAAGATTCTGGCCATTTTGCTCACTTGTGTTTGCTTGTTAGTCATACTTATTTTATTCATATATTTTATTACTTTCAGCAGCAAAATTGTCTTGAAGACACGTGTGGGAATGAATGATTTAACTCTGTAACAATGAGCTCTCAGCTAAGACTTTTAAAATCCTATTTTTTCCTATTATGACTAAGTTGCCAGCCCAGAGCCCTTTCACTACATTGCTGCAGCTATAATATGTCACTGAGTTAGGCTTAGTTCTCAGAATATTAAGCCAGGCTGTTTTCCCAGAAGCCTTCATTAGGAGATCAAAGTCAACTGGTGTAAATGTCTCTGGAGATGGCGCTGGTCTTGCAACTAACATGCAAATGTCATTTCTCATCAGGCACCTGTTTGAACATACTGTGCAGAATTGATGAAAACTGGGAAAATTTAACTTGTGACCTTCAGTCTCATGGCCCACCATCTACCACGCTGGATGCTGGTCTCATGGAAGTTAGCTTACAGCGTCTGATGTAAGTATGAAGCTGCTTTTTTATTAAGTTTTGCACTGTCTTTGCTGTCCGTGTGTAAATGGGTCTCT